ATTAATCCAACTTAATTTATTTTCATCAATTAGGTTCCAAATTTCACACCTGCTTTCCTATCTGATGATTAAAGAATATGATGACTAAAAAACAGAAATTTTAAGAAATTAAAATACAAGAGAGAGATTCCAACTCAGTAAAGCTACATATAATTATAAAATGCCATCTTCTCTTTTTCCTGTATCTGTATCTGAGAAAATACCACAAATTTAGGAAGCAAAGGAAATAGGGCAAAATTCTCTCTAAAAACAACTGCTCTGCTACTCAATAAACCAACCTGCTGATTACAAAAAGAGAAAGAAACACTGTCAGACTACAAATATCAGCTTTGCTGAATACAGAGAAAAAGAAGGAAATCCATCCCTATATACACAATAGCCAGGTTTACCAAGTGCCATCACAAGTATATTGTTTATTAAAAACTGACTGAACTATAATGTAGTGTTATCCCTCATGGCTCCTTATACTTCTAAGGACATATGCATTTAAAGTTTATGACGGACTCCAGCATGAACTAAACCAGAGAATCATGATATGAATTATGTGCAATGAAATGTCATTTCATAATGAAACAGACAGGTCTCCATGAGAAACTGCACACTCCTTAATCAAGGGCTCATCTTGTGACTCCATGAGATCTCCCTAAATGAAGATCAAAATGGATGACCGGTGCTTGTGGGACAATAATCTTACATTCCATTCCCCTCAGGAGGAATGTAATGTAACACTGTCCTGCCTGGTAACCTAAATAGGTCCGTAATCAGCAGTAAAACTTAATCTACATAAAAATGGTTCATCACTGTGTCTTATATTGATGGATATTAATGGCACATTGAAGAAATGAAACAACCTTCTCAGTTATGCCAGGAAAAACATCATTCAAAATATATTGGACCTTATTATGATCAGACAATCCCATCTTATTTTCAAGAACAGGGGCCAAGATACTTAAAACAAATGTTTGCATAAAAAAGGGCAATAAAAGAGGACATGCGAGATTGTTTCAATACATTTTAATTTACACAGGCAAAGTATAGCAGAGTAGGCGACCTTTTGAAATCTGCCATATAGAACTGCTGATGACATGATGTTAAATCTGGCCAAAGAGAAGACTCTACGCTGTTGGGAATTATCTGATCCTCTGGCCTCCCCTGGGCTGCAGCGCTCCGGCGCGGGCCCCGGGGAGGCAGTGACAGGCATACTGTGGCCTCCCCTGGGCCTTGATTTCCAGGGTGTTTATATGACATGATCTCTCACCAGTGTACTACATGCCAATGACTGAAAAGGAGCCTACGTGAGTGCCTCAATCTGACAGTGAAGCATCTGTTGTGAGGGTGACCTCTGATAAGGGGAAGTGGAATGGGACCCCTGAGAGGATTTGAGTGACAGTCCACCAAGACAGGGAACAGATATTGTGTCCTGCTGTGTTTAATTTTCTGTACTGCAGGTGTCAATGGGCATTGAAAACCTTGAGAAACTAGTTGCAGGGGGCTCATCTGCAGCTGAGTGTATGGGAGTATGGCTGTGGTGGATGCCATCAGCCCCAGAAGATGACAGTATGGAGCCGTAGGTGTCTGCAATGGAGTGCCCCTAGATGAATGACTAGGTTTCTGTCCAGGGGTGGAAAATCCTTGGCTAGAGAGTAGTTTAGTATTGCTCCTATGAAGGCCAGCCTTTGAATGGATTCTAGCCTGGATTTTTGGAAAGTGACTTATAATTTGGGTTCATTTAAAATGTTCAGGATTAAAAGGTCATTTGATTGTAGTTTTGGCTTGGAGTCTGCCACTATTACCCAGTTGTATAGGTAGGATTGGATTTTGCACCCTAATTTGCACAGGTAGACTATTACTATGAGTACTACCTTGATGAACACTCTGGCACTATAGCTAAACCGAATGGCAGGACTATGTAATGCAGGAAAACTGCCATATTGAAAACAGAGGTACTTTTGACAGTCTGGTCTGATTCTTAAGTTGAAGTAGGCATCTAATAGGTCTAAGCTTACAAACCATATGCCCAGACCTAGTAGAGAAAGGACATCCGAGGTGGATAACATTCTGAAATTTTTATTATCAAGAACTTTGTTTAGAATTGTCAGTTCAAGCATCAGTCTTATCCTTCCTCCTCCTTTTCTATGAAGAAATGCCTCGAGTAAACATCTGTCTATTGGGAGCAGCGCCAGACATGGGGTTTTTCCCCATACAGAGTCTTATAGGCTCAAGGCTTTGTCATGTGTAGCCTTGGAAGTTAATTGTCTACATACTGCACGCCTCAAGACATTATGCTCTTCACAAAGATATAAGTATGGTCGTCTGTGTGGGGGATTTTTACGCGCAAGACATGTATTTCTTGAAGAGCACTGTTGAGGCCATATTTTATGCAAAGCTGTTCACTGTAATGTCTTCCTTGTAATTACTATAGTTGAGCTTGCCAGAGCAACAAAAAGGTCCAAAGGTTCTTCCACACAGAGCTTCAGCAAGGAGGAACCTTTCTCCACAGTGGCAGAGAGATAACTTAGGGAACGGCACTCTGTCCCCTCCTTTTATGCTGGAAAAGGCAGGAAAGCAACATGGAGGAACAGGGGAAAGTGCCCTCTAGAGTTTCTGAGCTTCAAAATCTCTCTGTGGCAGGCCTAAGCATGCACAGTAACCCTTGTGGGACTACACAGATACAAGAAAAAAAAATTAACTTAATATTTTTCCCTGAACAATGTTATCTGAGGCCAGTGCCTGACCCATCCTCGGCTGAGGCACCTACTACTAACTTGGGGACTTCCACAATGCTGCAGGGACTTGGCAGGACCCACCTACCTCTCTCATACAGCCACTGTCAACTCAGCCAAGATACCCAGGAAAGGACCCTGGGCATCAGGTAGCTGCAGCAATTGTACATGGGCCTTGCCACCCCCCTCCTGGGCTCCAGAGCTTCAGGTGCCAACTGATTACATCATCTCCTGGTCCTGGGACAACAAAGACGATGCTGGGGAAGAGTGAGCCTCAGAGGCCACCAAACCAGCCAACAAGCATGGAGGTGGTCAGCAGAAGCCCAGCCTGGGTGGAAGACAAGTGGGACCCAGCAGTGCAAGAACCTGGGTGGAGCCAAGCTGGGAGAGCCTGACTAAATGCCTCCCAGGAACTGGAGAGTGAGACAAAGAGGGACAGCCACAAAGACTGGGCAGGAGACTGGGGGGAGTAGTGCTCCAGTCACTGGTCCATATAATGGCTCAAGCCACAGGGGCATGGCCAGAGAGGTGGGGCTGTGACTGATTGGCAGGAGGAGGGAGGAAGCATAAACAGGTGCTCCGTAACCAGGCCAGGGATGAGAGAGAGAAAGCATTGTACTGCCTAGACAAGGGCAATGCTCTAGGAATGGGATGGTGGACTTGGGTGATGCAACTCTCCCCCCTCTTTCCTTCCTGGGGAGACCCCAGCGAGTTAATACGTCATGACAGCTGAGGGCCAAGGGGCAGTGCTGGAGAGGGAGGAGCCTCACAAATATATTATCAATTTCTAGATGGATTGTATTCCACAATCCATGCATGTAAAGATCATGGGATCTCCCATCCTGGAACTGTTTCTAATCCTGGGAAAGTTTATTCCCAGGACTGAGGGAGATGCATATGCTAATGGCTAGGCAGTAGTACTGTGGAATGGGAAGGGGGCCAAATTGCTCCCTTCTTTCTCTTCCATAAACAGAGCTCTGCTCATGCAAGAAGGAAAAGGGCAATCTCATTCCCTTCTCCCTCCCTACTTAGCCACTAAACCAATACGTTGATTAGGACACATAAGTTTCCTTGACCCCAGAAATAAACTTTTCCAGGATCATAAGTGGGGTTTTTTTTGGGGGGGGGGGGAGAAGATCCCAGAAAACTAGTGCTTTTCTGCTGCAGTCTGCAGTATCTAAGCCAGTGCTATTAAACATTGTTCCTTGATTCTATACCCTGAATCATCCACATATTTAAACACAAAATATTTGTTGACTGTAACAACACAGTCAGTTTGACTATATTAAATAGACCTTTAAATCTTTCTATCCATTTCCACTTAATTGGGATTGACTTCCCCCCCAACATTAAGCAACAGAATGAGGTCTGAATACTTATCTCTACATTGCAAGAGGAAAGTAGAAATGATATTCCGCAACATTATTAGTGCTTTGCAGACCCTAGTGAACCTGCTCATACCTATTTTTTTCCTAGTTAACTTGCAGCTTTCTTTTGCATAAGAGCATCTGAAACATGGTTGTTTTCAATTAGGTTGCAAGCAACACATATCAGCTCTCGTACATTCTGAGGCCAAGTATTTCTTCACATTTTCATATGAGAAACTGTAATATATTACAAGTAATGCAGTATTACATATTACACATACAATACAGGAATGATACTCCGAGGGCAAAAAACAGCCCTGGACTTAATCTAGCTTTGATTTTTTTGGTTAAAATTGACTCATAAACTTCAGAAGAATCACCAGAATAGTCTTCACAAAGCAAAAAAAGGATGGGTAAAATCCATTAATACTAAGGAAACTAAAGTACAATGAAAACCCAATAAATCAGGGGTAGGGGTACATTGCTGCTCTTTCCTAAATTTGCTTTTTGTTGTGAACAATTATCCTGAAAGTTGTTCTGCAAATCCTCCTATCCTAATAAACAGTAAATATTAGACACAGTTGAAGGGTGAAACGGTTGTCTGACAGGTGGGGGTGCAGGATTATTCTATGTCTGATCTTCATTTCTTATGCTTTTAACCAATAAGACTGAAACACATGAAAAGATATTAAAGTATCAAGTAAAATGATGTTGGTCACAGTCAATATTATACTTCTGTACTGTGTTTACCTAGTAATTAACATACATGTGCTATGTTTAGGCTTGCCTTTGCCACATATACCATCTGAACTGATATAAGTTATTTAATACAAATGAAACTGAAACAACTGTATTACAAAGCCAAGAATATGCCCTAATGAGGCTTGCTGCTTCTAGGCAGCTTTCTTACCTGTGACTTCTAGCTTGTCAGCAGTAACTTCAGCCTTCAAATAGATCCTCCCTCTTTTTTCTGTGTGATCCATGCCACAAAGACTTGGGACATTTATCACACATTGTTTGTGAACATTCATATCACAGGCTGCAGATCAGAAAAGAAACAAATAAGAATCTGTTGTATTGGCAATGGCTGAGATCTCAAGGAATGCAGTAACATCCCATTGCTACTTATGGCAAGGGGCAGGTCCATCCATCTGACATCTCTTTAGGTGACTGTGAAAAACCTGTGAGCTCACAGTCCACAGAACCCATATGCAAATAGTTTTTATTCATTAGCTATACAAAAAACTTTCTACGCCTGACTATTTGCACATGAATGCCAAAAAACAAACTGGTAGGAAATTATTTTGTGCAAAAAAAAAAAAAAGCCTGCCCAAATGAAAGCATTAAGTAGCCCTTTCTACCCACACCTTTGTTGAAACTTGAAACTTCTGTTGCTTTCTGTTTAAAAAGAAGACATCAGAGAAGAAATTCAAATTTATTATTTACTTCATTTATACCCCTGTGCAAGATGTAGTCTGACTCAGAACCAAAGAAAAACCCCACTTGGCAAAGCCAATAGGAAAGACTCTAGTGGCAACAGAAGATGAAATGGAATTTCTGGATTGAAGACCATAATTCCATGCAAATTAGTATAAAAATTGATAAAGAATTGTGTAGGAGATTCTCAGAAAATACAAGAAAAACAGGACAAGAAAAAATGACATAATAGCAAGAGGAGCACAATTGACAATGTCAACACTTGTGACATAGAAGAGACTAAAATTCTCCAGAGTACAGAAAGATTGTTAGGTAGCAGCTGACATCTAAGTGTAAATTATGATAAAATTTAAACTAATAAATCATGGAACAGGAGATTCTCAGAGAGGAGAGGGGAAACAGGAAATAAAACAATCCAATTGACAATGCCAACACTAACAAAAGGGATGGAGGTAAAAGACGATGAGACTAAAATTGTACACTGCACAGAAAGCTCATTAGATAGTAGCTCACATGTACGTGAAAAAATAATCACTTAATAATTATAATGCAGTGATGTGCATACAAATGTTAACTAATCAAAATGTGAACCAAACAGCCCTGTTACTCAATGTTATTACTGTATATACTAGGAATAAGGCTCGTTGTGGAAATAAATAAAACGAGCTCTGAAAAGAGGCCCTGGCCCTGAGCACTCAGTGTCAATTTGCTGCAGTGACCTCAGCAGGGTATAATGACCCAGAGCTTACCGTTTTATCCAAGGGAACTGATCTCTGCCATCTGAAGAGCAATTGTAATTCTGAGTGATCTCCAGCCTTCCGCTGGAGATTGGCAACAATGGTTCCCCAGGAGGAAATGGCTGGTCTGGAGGGCAGAGTCTATGGCATTGTACCTGTCTGAGGACCCACCCCTCCTCAAACCCAACTCTCTCCAGGCTCTACCACGCAAATCTCCAGGAATTTTCTAACTCGGGAGTGGCAACCTTATCTCCTTCCCAGCCAACCATCACCCTACCATTATCTGCCCCTCTGACTTCAGCTTTCCATCTCCCCCACTCTGTCTGCAGCAATTACCTAGAAAAAGTACAGTCTTTATCCAAAGTGGGGACCAAAGCAGCTCACATCATTCTCCTCTCCCCTTTTTGATTTGCACAACAACCCTGTGAGGTGCGTTAGGCTGAATGTCTGTGAGTGGTCTGAATCACCCAATCAGCTTTCACAGGAAGAATCTGGATCTGACAGACGCTGCTCTGAAGTGCTAACTGCTACATCACACTGGCTATGGGAGGGCCACCTCAGCAAGGTATAATGATGCCATTTTCTCCAGGGGAACTGATCTCTGCCATCTGGAGAACAGTTGTAATTCTGAGTGATCTCCATCCCTCACCTGGAAACTGGCAACAATGGTTCCCCAGGAGAAAACGGCTGGTTTGGAGGGTGAGGTCTATGGCATTGTAATTATCTGAAGTCCCAACCCACCACAAACTCCACCCTCTCTAGGCTTTACCCCTCAAAACTCCAGGAATTTCCCAGATTGGAGGTGGCAACCCTATCTCCTTCCCAGCCAACTATCAACCTACCTTTATCTGCCCCTCTGACTTCAGCTTTCCATCTCCCCCACACACACCTGGAGCCTCTACCTAGGAAAAGTACAGTGTTTCTCCTCCTCAGTGGGGACCCAAGCAGGAGGGGAAGCGACCTCAGTAGGGTATAATGATACAAAGTCCACCCTGCAAAGCAGCTGTTTTCTCCAGGGGAACTGATCTCTACCATCTGGAGAGCAGTTTTAATTCTGAGTGATATCGAGCCCTCACCTGGAAATTGGCAGCAATGATCCCCCAGGAGGAAATGGCTGGTTTGGAGGATGGAGTCTATGGCATTGTACCTGTCTGAGGTCCCACTCCTCCTCAAACACCACTCTCTCCAGGCTCCACCCCTCAAATCTTTAGGAATTTCCCAACCTGGAGTTAGCAATCCTATCTCCTTCCCAGCCAACCAACAACCTACCGTTATCTGTCCCTGTGACTTCAGCTCTCCATCTCCTACCCCCCCACCTGAAGCCTCTACTTAGGAAAAGTACAAATATTATCAAAAATAGATTTCACCCAAACAAAACATCAAAGTGCAGGTTTACATTCTGTTCAAATATTCAGACAGCACCTTGTCAGTATCACAATCACTAGTCCCATGGGACTCTAGTAATTTACCCATTTCGAACACAATCTTTTTCAAGGACTGTGATGTATATAAAGGACATAAAGGTAAAGGTAAAGGTTCCCTTGCTCGAAAGCCAGTCGAATCCGACTCTAGGGTTGCGGTGCTCATCTCCGTTACAAAGCCGAAGAGCCAGCGCTGTCCGAAGACGTTTCCGTGGTCATGTGGCCGGCATGACTAAACACCAAGGCGCACGGAACGCTGTTACCTTCCCACCGAAGTGGTCCCTATTTATCTACTTGCAATTTCTTGCTTTCGAACTGCTAGGTTGGCAGGAGCTGGAACTAGAGACAGGAGCTCACCCTGTCTTGCGGCACCCGGGTCTTGAACCACTGAACTACTGACCTTCCACAGCCTGCAGTTCAGCGTCTTAACCACTTGAGCCACCGCAGGACATAAGGTGCAATAATTTCTCTTTGTGAGCACAAAACCTCTTCAGATAGCAGCATATTTTCTATACTGATATATATATATATATATATATATATATCAGTATAGAAAATATATCAGTATAGAAAAATATATATATATCAGTATAGAAAAAATAAAAAGTGCAAAATTGATTTACCTTGAACATACATCTATTATACCCAGTGTTTTATACTTCTGCATATCAGAGAAGGCAGGGGGAAGCTACAGAGGCAGCTGGGAGGGGGCTGGGCTGCAGGAGTGTTGGGAAAAATTGGTCCCCCCCTCCCCAAAGGACCTATAGCAAGGTCTGAGTTGGGTCCAGGGGAGGGGTCTTCCAGTGGGAGGGAGCCTGCTGCTCTCCCAGGTCTCCGTTCTTTGTCTGGCCTCCTGAATGGTTTGGGGTGCTGTTGATTGTTAACAATGTCTTATTCCATTTCAAGGATGCAGCTCAAGTTGGAAATGACCTGCGATGTTAGCATTGTAAGCTCTAGGGATTCTCATCCATGCATTAGGGCCACTGGAGATGGCATTCCGAGGCGTGCAGGTCTTTCATCAGCCCATGCATGACATAGCTGCTGATTGTTAACTATGCCTGGTTCAGTTCTAGGGTAGCAGCGCAGGAGCATCACTGGTCACCGGGCATGGGGAACCACGCAGGCATCGACTTGGTGCATCAGGCAGTGGCTCAGTTGAGAATACTATGGCTTGATCATGGTTTGGTCTCTGAGTAGAGCACCCGACTGAGGCCATGCTTTGGTCAGGCGTTGGGCATCAACTTGCCTCATCAGGTGGAGGTGCAGTTGAGGATAGTATGGGTTGGCAATGCTTTGGTCAGCTGAGCTCACTAAGGGTAGAGCATAGCATGCTTTGGTTGAATCGGCTGGGCTATGCCCATGCTTTGGTTGGATCAGCTGGACTACGGTCATGATTTGGTTGGATCACTTGGACTACGGCCATGGTTTGGTCAGATTGGCTAGTGAGGCACTCTTAGCATGGACCATAGGTTGAGCAATTTCATTTGGTTGAGCTGGATGGAGTGGCATTCTTGGCGAGGGGCCATCTGCCCGGGAAAGGTGGATGTTGCAGGGCAAACAGTGACTGACAAGTTGGGTAGGACTATGGAGAACATGGGGGCCTCTGGATACAGCATCTGGCCATTATCGGTTGGAGGCCCTCTTCAGGCCTGATGGCGTGCATCTGTCTCCATGGGGCATGGAGATTTGGCTTGGCTACAGCTGTAAGAGCGTTGCTGGGAGCCGGGCAGGGGGACGCTGCCTGGCTCTTGTGGTGGTATCAGCATGGGGCCGGATCTGTTTTAGGAAACTGGCATGTGTGCCGCTTTCCTGAATATGAGGATCACCTTAAGGGGTCTTGGCATGAGGGCTTTATGTGAGCAGGCCAGCTCTGAGACTACCAGCATCCCCCTCATGCTCAGATGGCAGGGGAGACCACTTAGGTGCGATCGCCTGTGTGGACTCCCAGCAACTTGTCATCCCATGGTTCTCCCACCCAAGCCATCTGGCTGGGGGAGATGGGTACATCGACTGGCACCAGGTCAGCCAATGGTGTGAATCTGGGGGGCCCATGCTGTGCCAATGCTTCTTACAGCTGTAACCAATATAGCTGTGGCCATTTTATTCCACATTTAGCCAAAACTTGTGTATGACTGGTGTGCAGGATACAGTCTGGGCTGACCTCTCCCCCCTCCTAAGAGCTGGGGACACGAAAGACTCTGCATTTACAGATTCTGTAATACTGCTTGGGGTGCTCACTGTATAACACTTCATGCTTTTGTGGACTGCCAAATATAATCCCTTATGGTTGCTCTGCCGTATTACCTTCACGTCATACCATGCCACATGACAACATGACACAGTGTCCTGATGCCCATGGTAACATGTTTGGATGTGATCAAAATAAAGCTGAGAAGTAATAAAAATGGAACAATGTCTAATCAGGAAATACAGAAGACTATAGGGAGCCCAAAAATTATATTTAGTGCATTTTTTAAAAATGGTATGGGTTTTACCACAATGTTTCAAGCGCAACTGCTGATTTGATATGGTTGTTCTGTTTTCCAGTAAGTTTCCACTGACATATTTCTATAGCAAATGCTGTGCTAGAAAGGGCACCATTAATTTACACTACGAAATTAGATCGATTTGAAATGAAAAATCATGCCTGTAATTAATAGTAAGTGAAAATATTTTACTGCCACAAGGAAGGCCATTGACTAATGGTTTTTATTGATTTTAGGAGTTTGTTTTAAGAACATTTGAAAAACGTACTTACTGTCACATTTCATTCCTTGATGTATAAGTCCATAAAGTAATGACCCACAATGGTCACAAAATGTTGGGCTTCCATATGTGTGGATTTTGAACTTGTGCTTGCTTCTGGGGTCCTGAAAAAAGGAGGAATAGGAATAGAGTGTATGACATAGAATTCCTCATATACTGTTGAAAAAAACCACCAATTTATAGTAATAGTAATATTTAGTAATAGTACCACCAATTTATGAAGAAGCAAGCTGCCATTTCATTGCATAAGACATTTTTCCAAGGAAAATAGTTGCTCTCACCTTTCCTAACAGGCTTAAAACACAGAATAAAAACATAACATTAATGCTGATTTCATTGGGATTTTCTGATTACACTATAATGATGCAGTTTCAACCTAGTATCATACACATGTGGCTACCCTCTTGGGTGTACAGTTAATATGGAACCACAAGTCTCAGTTCCCACATTACAAATACATTGCACAAAATGGTTCCTGAAGTACTAACTTTGGGATAACAAAACCTCTTTTTGGAGGTTTGCATACTCCAGTGGATTGCTTTTTAATACACTCAAAGAGCTTACTACAGCTTGGTGCTGTGTGACTCCATTTCAACTTGTCATGAGAATGTTTGGTCACATGCCTAAATTATGCTTTATGGTTTTCAAGATGAAAGTGAATGTTCTACTTCAGTGGGAGCTTTAGATTCTATTTTTTTCAGTGTGGCAATGATATGATTTTCTATTTGAATCCAGCGTTTTCACTTTTTTTTGGGGGGGGGAGATCCAAGTCTCTCTTTTTGCCCAGCATTTGGACCCCCATCATAAACATACCAGAATTAAAAAGGCAAAGCTTCTCACAGTCCCTTAAAAACTAACAAATTTACCCAAGTTCTAGAGCTACAGCAATGTCCTCTGATGCACCCTCTTGCCCTCAGTTTCCTTCGAGCTGCAGCCCGGCCTGGGTGCTCCACTGGCCAGACACCCTCACTCGTCCTGCAGGCCCCAGACGGGGCCATGCCACCGCTGCTGAGCCGCCACCAGCCAGGAGCCACCACCAGCCAAGAGGAGGCCCAGGCAGACATGCGCTAGCTCGACCCAGCCGCCTGGAAAGGCACCAGGGGTGGCCCGTTCCCTCACGCCTCCCCCGTGCGGTCTGTGGATGAGGGGAGATGACAACATGCAACTGCGCCTCAGGCCGGCCGGGGAGCTGGGCCCAGCCTGTCCCGTCACCCCGTGGCAGGGACAGACGAGGTCGGCTGGCTTGGCCTGCCAGGGCCTTGAGCGCATGGAGGGAGGGCTGAGGAGAGGGGTTTGTAAAAGGAGATGTGGGCCTGCAGCCACCCGCCTGAGCCGCAGGGAGCGGGACGAGCCTGGTCCGCTTGCCCCACTGGGGCCCCGCTTGGCCGGGGGTGGCGGCGAGAGTGGCCAACCTAGGTGCCTTGACCCGCTGAGGGGGAGTGTGGACTGCTTCCCCGAGGTGGGGGGTGCAGGAAGTGGATGGTGCCCTGCGCCCGGCTCACACCCATTGCAGGGAGAGGGGCAACTCTGGCTGGCTTCCCCCGCCGCCGCCTTAATCGGGTGGGGGTGCCGGGGGGACAGACGAGGCCAGGCGGATTTGCCCACTGGAGCCACGACTGCGTGGCAGGAGGGCAGAGGAGAGAGGGCTGGGAAGGAGACGCGGGCCCGCAGCCACCCACTGCAGGGAGACGGATGAGCCGGGTCCCCTTGCCCCACTGGGGCCTCGCTCAACTGGGGGTGGTGGCGGGAGCGGCCACCCCAGGCACCTTACCCGCTGAGGACTCGACCCTGCGAGGGGGAGTGCGGGCTGCTTCCCCGAGTTGGGCCAGGCACCTTGGCCCGCCGGAGCCTCGCCCGTGCAGGGCAGGACAGCCAGCTTCGCCATGGGGGGGGGCAGATGGAGACGTTGACCCACACCCGTGGCCAGGCTAGCACCCCATTGTCTTCAGTTCCACAACAGGCATTTTTCCTAGTATAATATAAATACAAATCGGGATAGATCTAAAATATATGTTGTTTATTATTTTTCCTTATTATTTCTCTGCCTTCTCAAGGTAATTGTAATTACAAATGCCTTGTTAAAAATGACAATGAATGAGTCGGGAGAAAAAATTATCTTTGTTTTTATACAATATGTTTAATATGGATGTCCCAGATAAATTTAAATATTTTGTACTATCCTTTTTTCTATTTCCCACCTTCCTTTTTTGTATCCTTAATACTCTTTTAAAATAAAAAATGGGTAATTATTTAAACAGACAGGTATGGATCAGTATCAAATGGTGATGAGCTGGCAAAGTAGTATATTTAAACTTCTGCAGGAACATTGTTTTGTGTGGTCACCTGAAACCCCCAGGTCCTACAGCACCCAAACCTGATCATGTTAAATCTCTATAAGAACTCTGTGTCAATAGCTCATGCTACTGTTTCAGAGTCAAAGTCTTCATTAGTACAGTCCTATATCAGCGCAAGAACTTAGCAAAGTTTCCAAACATCACAATGAATAAGAGAAAACTTAGTTCCTGCACATAAATTAGCTTATAATTCAAAGGGAAGTGTATGTTAAAGTAATAGATAAAATAATTAAAATTCTACAATACGTATGCATAAAACTTTAAGCTATCAGTACCTGGCAAATTTTACAAGCTGTCACACAAAACTTCATAGTTCTGTGCTAAAACCAGTGGATTTTTGTCTATAAGCAATATTCTAGCATACAGACTGATCGACTGAGATACCTACTAAGTAAGGGAACGATAAATCTAGAACGAACCTCTTGATATAAGGGGCAATGAAGTAGGACGTGTTCCATAGTTTTGATCTCACCTGAACCACAGGGACATAGCCTTTCTGCCTTTGGAACCTTTTTGTATCACCCATCCAAAACTGCAGAAGGGAGTGCTTGACATCTAGCCAGAGAAAATGCCTCCCTGTGACTGAAAATTTCCAACTGGGAGAGTGTATAGAAAAATTGCTTTCTGGTTCTATATCCACATGCCTTCTCCTGTGATGTCTTTTGATACCATGCTGTCTCTGTTTCCTGTTGCAGGTCAAATGGTCCAGGGCAGACCAAATGGCCTGAACTACCTCAATAGCCATACCATATAACCACACATTCTATCACACCTCTAAGTGGAAGATCCAGACCTGATGGCTCCTGGCTCCCCCCACACATCCAACGCCATGTATACAATGACGAAGCTATGGAGTTTGGATCACCTGACTGCAGGAGGGGCCTCCAAACTTCTAGCCATTCGTGTGTTGCAGCTATGGCAACCAACAATTGGGCACACCCATGCCCACTAGTTATTGGCTGATGGCCACAGCTGATTATGAATGGAATTGGGCTATAATTGATTGATTCCTATGAGAGGGAGCTCTATGCTCTCAGCTCTCCCTTCTTGTCACTGTCTGTTTTATTGCACCTGGAAATGCTGCCTCGTGAGAGACAAAGAGTTGCTTTGTGAACTGGAGCACATGGATGCAAGGATGGGATTTCTCTTCAAAATCCCTTGGTGTCTAATTGGACTGTATACCTTGGACACTCTTGGAATATGGACACTTGACTGGTAACTTTGAATATCTTTAATGTGTCGTTAAAGATAGGTTTTTCTTGTTTTCAGTAATCTCTTATATAGTCTGTTTTGCGATGCTCTGTACTGAATAAAAATTATTCTTATTTCTAATGGGTCTCTGATGTTGTAACTTGCATTCCAAGCCTAGATCTTGTAGCCTAATGCTCCCCACACATGCTACCTTGGTAAGAGTGTGCATCTCTATATTGAGTTGCTAATGTGTTTTGTCCCAGATGCCAACTAAGGGTTTGGAATCTCTTCCTTAGGAAAGGCAGGGACTAGAGAAAAGAGGTTCTGGTGGCAAGTTGTTCTGGAAACCTGAGGAGGTATAGACCATCTCGTGGTTTGTTGTTTAATGTACTGAACAGTACAGGATTCCCTCCCATTCCTGGACTGGCTTGGGTGGGCAAAAACCTGTACAGAGAGATAAAAAGATCCGGAAACTAGGTATCTAGAGCTTTCCAAGGATTGGAAAGTTGGCAACCTCTCTAAATCTGCCTACTGCTCAATATCCATCACTCTTTGCTTTAAAACGTGCTTCTTCCGCTCCAAAAGACAGTGAGGGGAAAAGTCCAAACTCATCAGCTTGATCCTAACTGCCTTTAGCCATGTAGATAGATAACTTTCCCGAAGAATCAAGGGAGTTAAGCCTTGATGACTGAAATTTAGCTTTAGCCAAAGGTTAATGGAGGCAAGGTACACCCTAACCTCAACTTTTACCATGCCTGTCTCCAAATGCAATTTACATTTGAAATGCAGCGGGGTAGTTGAAGGGCTGCTCTCAGGAATTTCGAGAGTACCCAGTCCGGAGGTGTAAAACAAGAAGATGGTGCCTAATCATGGCCCCATATGAAAGTTGAGCCGATGTTTTAGCTTTAAATGGTTTAAGAGCAGCTAGAATATATTGACCACCTTTTGTTTGTAAAAATTTAATTATATTATGAGCAGATTTTTGTCCAGAATTGGCTACATAGTTACAATGGGCTTTCCTTGAGCCAGAGACATGCAATATACAACCCCTAAATACTTAAAGCTCTATCTTATGGCTGTTTATGGTCTTGCTCTATCTTATGACCATTTATGCTCCATACCCAGGTTTTAGGTCTCCTACCAAATGTCATAATTTCTTTTTTTGGGGGGGGGGGGTTTTGGGAAATATATTACTAAATTGTCCTTGCTACAATATTGGGCAAACACCCTTAGTATTCTTTTAAGTCCTACTGAAGACCTTGATAAGATTGAAGTGTCATCTGTGTACAATAACATTAGCTTAGGAGGGTAGAAATCTAAGTCACTTAAATATCTGACCATGTTATTGATATAGAAAATGAAGAGCAATGGAGCCAGAATACAACCTTGTTTGACTCCCTTTAAGGTTTTAATTGGATTCGTGAGATGCCATTGCCTATTGCATCTAACTTTGAGGGTGGTAATACGTAAGTAAAGAAGCCTGCGATCTATTGATGTTACTTCTATTTTCATCCATAATTTAGTCCTAGAAATGGAGTCAAAGGTTGCTTTCAAACCTA